CTTCCCTGTCTGGAGGTTGAAGTCTCCAAGAAGTACAGCGGGAGGACCAGTTTCAGGGATGTGTGAGAGGAGATTATCTAATTCCTCCAAGAAGTCCCCCAAGGCGCCTGGTGGACGGTAGAGAACAACAATGGTTAACTGTATAGGATGGGTTACTGTGACGGCATGGAATTCAAAGGTGGAAGGAGTGAAGTTAGGTAGCTTGAAGAGGGAAAAGCTCCATTTGGGAGAGAGCAGGAGACCAGTGCCACCACCTCTGCCAGTTGGTCTGGGTGTATGGGAGAAGGAATATGCTGTGGAGAGAGCTGCTGGGGTGGATGTGTTGAATGGAGTAATGCAGGTCTCAGTGAGAGCAAGGAAATCCAGGGACTGCAGGGAGGCGTAGCCAGAGATGAAGTCAGCCTTAGGAACAGCTGACTAGCAGTTCCACAGGCCACCTGAAACTAGATGTTGGATCTCAGTGGAGCATGTGGGATAGACGAGAGCAGGCCGGTTATAGCGATTAGGAGATACAGGGGGCCAGTGATAATTGCGAGAAGACACATGAACAGGGTGTGATTTTCCTACTGCAGCTGTAACTCGTTCTGTCAGTCAGTAGGTGTGCTCATGATTTACTTGTTCTTCTACTGGGGGGGGGGGGGGGGGGGGTGGGTGTGGCATCCACACATTTCCTGACTCTTTTACAGAATCGCATATAAACCATACTGTAAAGGCAACCGAACAACAAATATTTGCCAGTGAGGGATATGGTGTGAAGCTTTTCCAGACGCGTGGTGTTGACAGCAAATCAGGTCTTCTCTTTGAGTGCATTTAAGATGTTTATTTGGATTGCAGGATGATGACAGCGGGTGTTTAACTGATAACTAAACAACTAACTGTGATAAAGAAATAAACTGAAATTAACTCAAAACAAACAGAAAATAAGCAAAAACATGCACGGTTGAAAAACTGTGTGGCTTCCCTCTGGTGATTCCCAATCCCTAATGCTGTGCACCTGTGTCCTCCCTAAATAGTAGGCTGTACCCTGAAATTGGCTGAGTCCCCGCTTATGCCCAGGTCAATTCAGTAGTATCACAGCACCTTCATATACAAATATTAAAATACATCAAATTGGCTGCAACACATACCTTTAAATAGTTGTTCAAACTTAATGATTGGTTTGTGAATGTCACATTATTACAGCTCGACATAGGATGTCAATTTAATGCAATTGTGTTGTGAGCGTTCAAGCTCACGATAGGGTTAGAAAAGGATGGATTCATAAAGGTGGGTTGAAGAACAAACAAAGTTTATTGAAAAACTGAGGGAGTTAACCTGTTAAACCCGGAGCCTGTTTTACAGGCCTCAGGCTCGAAAATGACATTCCCAGAACAAATGACTATAGGCGCTTTCACACCAAGTACTTTGCCATACTTAGTTCATCAGAACTTAGTTCTAAAGAGCAGATCGCGTTCACACCGGAATAAGTCCCTGAGGGAGGATTAGTCAAATCTAGCCGCTGACGTCACTTCTTCTTCTTCTGCTTTGGGTTTACTGGCAGGCCGCAAACAACTTCACGGCGTATACTGCCACTCAAAGTCCCCAGCTGGAGGTCCCCGGCCGGAAGTCCCCAGAGTTGTGGACTGGCTTCAGTAGAAGCTGCTGGGACTCCCAGCAAAACAAACTTTTTGGGAGTTTTACGGGGCGTGGTTTGCAATCCGCCCAGCCAATCAGAAATAGGAACCTTTTTCTCCAATGAAAGTACCTGCTCTCTAGCAGGGACTGAAAAGGGGGTGAAAAGGTTCTCATGAACTAAGTTCTATTTCCGGATTTTTTGGTGTGAACGAACATTTTCGGAACCATACTGGGAAAAGTACTCCAGTGTGAAAGCGCCTTATATCTTTACTTCTAAAAGGGGTAAATGAATAATCTGGCTGTAGAAGTGTGATAATCAATATAGATGTTTTTATTTTAAAGTAAATTCTGATTGAACATAGTAAAAGAAATTAAATCATAGTTTCCGTCTAAAAAAAACAACCATTAGGCCTACTTATAGTGAAAACTACCCTTGAATGATGGGATAGTAGACTAAAAGCTTTAGGAATCCAAACTATAACATATAATAAGTACCCTGTATCAAGATTGACAAAACAAGTTAAATTTAACATTTTTAAAGAGGTTTAGAAAAAAAAAACTCACCTCACCTTTTGAACCAATATAATCGAGGGGAAGTTCTTAAATCCATCTAAACATTACCATTGGTGAATGAGAGTGATGCGCAGCCAGCATGCCCAAAACCGGAAGCTCCGTTACACTCTATATGAAAAATACGTTTATTGCCATACATATGATGATGGATTATCAGTAATCATTTCAAAGTGACACAGAGACATTGGATTAACCTTCAGCAGCGTTTATATGTTGTAATTCCATTGAACACAACTTTTGATCAGAAAACAGCAAAAGAGACACAAAACTTGAACCCGCTATGCAAGAACACTGGGACGGAGACTTAGGTGAAGTACAAAAAGACTGTATTTAATAAGTCCACAAAAACCAGGCAAACTCTGAACAGAGTGGGGAGAACGTGGAGCAGGGCTGAGACGGAGGTCGGGCTGGACGTGGCAGGCAGGACGGAATGGAATGTGGAGTTTCTGGAACAGGCAAAAAACAGAACAGGATTAGCATACGAAAAAATCCAACAGGTAGAGTATACAAAATAACTAGAAAATCTAGTCAGACGGAATTGGAGTTTACCACTGAGTATACGAAGAACTGGCGAAGTCTGATGATCGAACCGGAGTTTTAAGCAGCAGCAGGTGAGTGGTGGTAATCAGTGATGATGAGAAACAGGAGCGGAGGTGAGTTGGCGGGAAACGGAAAGTAGGTCAACCACGCCCAGCCAGGAAGACAAACAAACAGAAACAAGGAGAAGGAGATACCGCAATTCCTCACAGTATTTGCCGTTTTGACCCCGTAAAGTGAAGTTGTGTGTTGTCTTTCCTGGCTTTCGCTGCCGTGAGTTTTGGTCGCACAGTGATGATAGCCTACTTGTACCATTGGAATCTGTGGAATCTCAGCTTTCCCCTTCTCCCTTTCATGAAGTATAAAATATCGCTACCGTGAGTTATGTGCTAAGTGCGCTTGGTGCTAGACTTGTGTTTCGTTTAGGTAAAAAGTGTTCATGTCGTCAGTTAGCTGAGTTTCTTCCCGTTAAGTGGGTATGACACATTAATAGGTTGTTAAATGTTAAGAAGCCCTGAGACCCCGTTTCGTGAATATTGTTAAGCCCGATTGTTAAGAGAGGTTAACACAAAAGGGGTTAACATAAACGTAGGCACCAATCAGCTCCTCTATTTGCTGAGGTGGCTGGGAGGTTGATGGTCCTCCTCTCTGGACCCAGCCTACTGCATGAGAGACCAGAACCAGGTTGCCAGCATGCTTTTTACTGAGAGCCTAATCACATGATTCTGATCAGCTGACTCGCCTCCAGCCGAGTCACTCCCATCACTCCAGCAGCCGGCGCTCCAACCACACCCCGCTGCCACAGGAGTCATCCTTCTTTTCATAAAAAAAAGGTAAAGCATACTTTTAGCTTCCCAGTGGTATGTGGCTGGTGCTTTTTAATCTTTAGCTCCTCCCTTTGTCAAGCACAGTGTTGCAGATATATTTGTGCTCAGTTCCATATAATGTATTGCCTCAACGGTTTCTTAATTGTCAAGATGAGGAAAGTCTCAACAGGTATTGATAGTATAACTGTTGTACAGAGGAGAACAACACATCCACATGCCTTGAAAAAGCGATACTAGGATGGAGATTTAAACTGCTGGTTTGTCAGAAAGTATTAATGCTGCATTTATAACATCAGAAAGAGTAATTTGCTAACTCAGGGAGTCGATATCCATCATTAATCATTGTGTTGATGCTGCTCTAAATTATATGTTTTACCCGAAAGACACATATAATAGAGTGTTACAACAGTATATCTGTTTAGTTTTTTAAATAATCTTCCAGTTACTGAGCATCTGCATGTCATACTACAACCACTATAAAATAGAACATGGCAGCTACATTTTGAACTGCAAAAGCTGTGAATTTGTCAAATGTGACTTTTTTGGTTATTTTGCTAGTGTTGTCTTAGTGTGTGTAGCACTCGGAGGTGGAAGAAGTATTCAGATGTTGTATTGAATTAAAATTAGAAGTACCAGCGTGTAGGAATACTCTGTTACAAGTAAAAGTTCTGCATTCAAAATGTTACTCAAGTAAAAGTACAAAAGTATTAGCCTCAAAATATACTTGAGGTACCAAAAGAAAAAGTACTTATTCTGCACATTGGTCCATTTCAGAATAATATATATTATATGTTTTGATTATAATGATTGATGCATTAATGTGTTATCAAAGCTGGTAAAGGTGCAGCTAGTTTTCATTACTTTGTATGCTGCAGGGTAGCTTGTGAAATTACTCCAGGTGTAACTAAATTCTTATTTGACTATATTTCACAACATTAATCCAAATCTATAAAGTAATTTAAAGGGGACCTATCATGCAAAATGCACTTTTGTACGTCTTTTATACATGAATGTGTCCCCGGTGTTCCAGGGAACTCACCAAGTGTCAGAAAACACAACCCTCTCTCTTTTCCTCCATACCCAAATCTCTATAAACGGGGCTGCAACGGATCTGATACAGACTGATCCAGATTTGAATTATTTTCTACGTAACAAAAGCAAGTACGCTATCCAGTTATTTTAGCCGTGCCGGCTTAAATGATTACAGTACTACGGCTTCCACAGATTTTTGTATGGATTTGTTGTCAAAGCACTTAAGATATTCATTGCTATTGGGATGTTAAGAGCATTCCATGGAATATAATAAAAAGTGTATCTCGAGCCGGTTTCTCAAACTTACCTACCCCACCTTTATTAAGTGTGGAAATTACATCTTGCTGTTTCACTAAATCCTCCTCCTAAGCTTTCCCCTTTTATTATCACAATAATAATGATGAGAGTGACAAGAAATCCTTTCAGTTCTCAGTTTTATTTGATTCACATTCATTTGATGTAATTTGCAGCAATGTTCATTAGTCAAAGTCCGTAGGAAGGCTTATACAAACACATTTAGTTTCAACCTAATATTTTCTTGAAGGAAAATAAGTCCAAACCTATACATGAAACCATTTGACAGATCTGTAAACACAACAGTACATCAGTACACTAGAGTAAAACAAAAGTGCTTAAGTTGACAAAATTGATGACAATCAAAAGGTTCCTTGCTTAGTTTTCACACTCCATCCCCTCAAGTTTTTTTCTTATTTGTTGGTTGTCAGTGCAGAAACAACTGACCTGGCCTAGCTGTGCTTAAAGACATGTTAAGCTAATACAAAAAGCACAGACAACAGTCGAAAAACTGCCAGTGGAACATGCCTAACAACATTGCATAGCACCATGAATGGGTACGGAATTAGATCAAACTCATGAGTTTCTGAAGGGAAAAAGGGACAGCTCTCCTTTTTTAATATGCTCTTCTGGTACTGGATGTACTGGACTTTGTGATAGTTTTGGTACTGCCGCCACCGTAGCTGCTTCCGTAGGCGCCACCTGAGCTGCTTCCGTAGCCGCCACCTGAGCTGCTTCCGTAGCCGCCACCTGAGCTGCTTCCGTAGCCGCCACCTGAGCTGCTTCCGTAGCCGCCACCTGAGCTGCTTCCGTAGGCACTGGACACTGTGGAGCAGATGAAAAAAAAGATGTATGTGTTATAGTTTTTAAATCAATATAGCACTGTGGTCTGTTGGTTTAAATACCCCTTATGATCATGATGTATAAAGTATTGAACTTACCACCACCAGAGGACTGCTGCACATGGATGGTTGCAGTTGAGCCTCCGCTGGTAAGTCTAATGTTGGAATAATGCAGAGTTAGTCCTTCATTCAAAGTTAAAGCTAATTGTGAAGCATAAAAGCATTTATTAAAGTTTATCGCACCTGTCCTCCTCTCCTTCAAGCAGTTTCCTGTAGGTGGCGATTTCGATGTCCAGGGCCAGCTTGACGTTCATCAGCTCCTGGTATTCGCGCACCTGGCGGGCCATGTCCTGCTTGGCTCTCTGCAGAGCATCCTCCAGGTCTCTGATGCGGAGCTTGGCATCTTTCACTGCCAGCTCACCACGCTCCTCTGCCTCTGCGATCTGAGCCTCAAGGCCGGCCCTCTGTGGAAAATGTCACTGATTATTTAGTATCTGCAAGTCCCTTAAATTAATGTAGTGCAAATTAACATGTAAATATGAATGATTAATCAATAAGAAGGTTTGGAAATATACCTGTCCCTTGACAGCCTCAATCTCATTCTGAAGACGGGAGATCATGCGGTTCAGCTCAGAAATCTCTGACTTTGTTGTGCGCACGTCGTCACCATGCTGTCCGGCAGAGGTCTGCATCTCCTCATACTGAAAAATACAAGACGGTGTGTCAAGAGAGGGATCTAAAGCGATGACGAGGTGTTGAAAGTAATTGTAGCAACAAGATGAACTTAGCCTTGTTTTTCACTCACCTTCTGTTTGTACCAGCCCTCTGCTTCTGCTCTGCTGCGGCTGGCAATGTCCTCATACTGAGCACGCACTTCAGCCACAATAGAGTCCATGTCCAGGTTACGGCTGTTGTCCATCTCCACAACGACCGAGGTGTCCTTGATCTGGCTCTGCAACTCATGAAGCTCCTACAGAAACAATGGTTGTTGCACAATAATTAGCTATTTTTGAAAAAAATGTATTGAGACTCTAATAATTACAGTATTGTAAAGAGATATTATAAATACATACAGCCTCATAGACGGCCCTGAGGAAGTTGATCTCATCCTGAAGAGCATCAGCCTTGGCTTCCAGCTCCACCTTGTTCATGTAGGCACCATCAACATCCTAAAACAAGATAATGTAGGAACAGAAAGTGTTATAATTTGCTACTTTGTTGTTAACCCCAGGAGTTCAGAAGAATGAATGTATATTTGATGTATATGCACCTTCTTCAAGAGCACAAACTCGTTCTCTGCAGCTGAACGTTTGTTGATTTCATCTTCATACCTGTTGGATGGCAACATTTTAGTACATCCGTTCCATTTTCACAATCTGCAAAAGTAAGTGACCATGTCATATAAGCACTCACTTATTCTTGAAGTCCTCAACCAGACCCTGCATGTTCCTCAGCTCTCCCTCCAGCTTGACTTTCTCATTGCCCAGTCCGTCGTGCTGTCTGCGCAGGTTGGAAATGTAAGCCTCGAACATGCTATCGATGTTGGAGCGGGTTGTGGTCTGCTCCTGCAGTAGGCTCCATTTGGTCTCCAGCATCTTGTTCTGCTGCTCCAGGAACCTGACCTGTGGAGACAAAAAAACAGGGGATATTGTCAGATGTTGTTCATAAAGCATTTTCTATAAATGCGTTTCTAAATATGATCTGGTGATGAAACAAATAAAAATATCAATTGTAATAAGAGGGATTAGTGGAAAAAGGATGTTTGATTGTGGTATCAGATTCGAAGAGGCTTCACCTTTATTATACATGATTAGGTACATACTAGCTACATATCAGAATTGCCACACCCTTGTCGCAACAATTGTAGAAGACATGTTAAGATTGCATATCTTTACATGAAGCAAATTGAAACCTCAAAGATGTTAAAGGGATCAGTTGTGCCTTTTAATGGCATTGAACAGACATCTTGAATTATTCCTTCATAAAACAAAAGGTATAATACATCCTATCCACACATTTCCTGTGTATGTGGCTTTAAGAGTTTCACCTATTGTATATTTGCCTATGAGTCATCCTACATACTCAGATGAGCTTTGAAGGCCACACAGTCAATAGGGCCATACAAGGTGTGGCAGATAAGGAAGACAAAGCAGTGGAGTATTATGGGATGAGCGCTCTTGAGTCCACTTTTTTTTGTGTTAAGAGTCTCACTCTTCAAGGAAAATCCTCATAAAGCTTCCATGTAAATATTAACACAGACTTGTGATAGTATCATAAAAGACAAGTGAAAGTTGATTCATTGCCCTGCTCTTTGCGTTCTTGTTGCCCATAACAACCAGGTAAGAGGTGCGATGTGAAAATAACAGACTTTAGACTATGAACAGCATGGTTCAGATGGATGCATATTTTCTCTACTCCAAGGTAGGTCACTGCAATATAATCCCCACCCATGTTTAGATAGTGGGCAGAGACCTTAGGTGGATTATGAATGTCGTTACCAGTGTGAGATGGGGTCACAATCAGCTGCATACTTTGAGAGTTTTACAGCATTTCTAATCCCAGAAGGTGTAAATAATTAACAGAGAGAAGACAGCTGTCTTACTTTGTCAGCTTTGAATTTGGCAGATTGCCTTTACTATACTTAACAGGATAGTTTTCACTTTCTAGTTTTTTCTTTTCAATGAGATCAAAGAAGCAAACAAATTGCACTTTTCAAAGCTGCTAGAAGTCAATATAGCAAACTGCTCATTGGTAGTGGACACTGAAGCCTAGAGTACATTTTACATAAGACATTCACAAGCAGAGAGCACAGGAACAAACCTTGTCGATGAAGGAGGCGAAGCGGTTGTTGAGGGTCTTGATCTGCTCCTTCTCATGGGTGCGGACAGTCTGGATGTTGGGGTCAATTGAAAGGTTCAGGGGGGTCAGCAGGCTCTGGTTGACTGTGACGGCTGTGATCGGTGCACACATGAGGCCTCCTGCTTGGCTGGCACGAAGGCCGCCATAACCTCCAGCACTAACTGAACTGAAACCTCCACCATAACCGCCAGCATTAGCTGAACTGAATCCTCCACCATAACCACCAGCATTAGCTGAACTGAAACCTCCACCATAACCTGAGCCAGCTCCAGCTGCTCCAGCACTAAAACCTGCACCTGAACCAAAACTGGATCTTTGTACAGAGTAGGAGGATGGCACAATGGACCTCCTCGAGCTTGCACCAGAGCCGGAGACTGAGTATGACTTCCTGGAAGACATCATGTTTGCAGTGGTGGAGGTTGGTTACTCTGACAAGAGGAGAACAGATGATGAGCAGTCTTCAAAAGGAGAGCCAAGTTCCTCTGAGTGTCTGACTGTGAGCTCTGCCGGCTTTTATGTCCATGCTCTGAGAGGGGGAGTATCCTTTCGGCCGCTCTAACATGGACTCTCACTTTTGCTGTCCAACCTCCCCTCCGACACAGCCAACACGCCAATCCTGTAAAACAGGTAGGGAGGAATTTTAGAAAGATAAGGCGTGACACACCCTGCCCTGGGACAGGCTGAAAGCGAAGAGTGCGAAGTGAAGTGAATGTTATTGAGTAAGGAAAAAGAGCCTCTTTGAGTGTGTATCCCCTGTAGCCTGCTTAGTAGTCACAAGACAGAGATATTATTACTGGGGGATTCTAGGAAGAGTTTGTGGGTGATGAAGGGTGATATGGTATAAAAAAAAGTATATTACTAATATTTAAGAATACAAATATATTACTTCTCAAGCCATCATAAGTACATTATAATAACCAAATGAATGCCTTCAAATTGTTTCCTAGTGGATTTGTAAAATAAAGATACTGCATGATTAATATTAAGAAGTGTTTCAAATGTATTTCACCTTTGGGATGATTACATTTTCACATAAGTCATTCTCTGTCAGTTTAAGTTCTGGATGGAAAAAATAATCCTTGAAAAAGGAAAGATGGGGATCTTATCTTGATCTATAAACCATGTACACACGTCACATTTTCATAATCAATGTTGAGTTAACGTTTTTACCACTGATCAAACATTATTAAAACAGGCAGGGTACATTGCATATATTTTTAAAACATTCTCAAAGAAGTGCAAAAGAACTCAAAAGTGTCACTGATGTAATATCTCACATCAGTAAAACATTTAATGGGTGTAGCTCACACATTTCAGCGTTAAGAAAACACTCTCCCTGCACTCCCACACAGTGGTTGTCACATGCTTACAGTAGTTTGTAACATTAGTTAAATGTAGCTGAACATTTAAAACATAGTATCTATTACTATTTTTGTCCTCAATACTGCCCATTTAAAGAGTTTTTGCTCAACCAATCTTTCACTTTCTTACTTGTGTAGTTTTATGTAAACACAGTTTTGAATCCACGTGGTATAGCTACTATTAGCCAAGTAATGATTTTTTGTCAAAGGGCCATTATAAAATTGTGTAAACATTTGAATGTTATAATTGATGCTACATTTAAACCTCACTCTTATTTTTTTGTATATATGCAATGAAGCAAGTAGAACCTGTAGAATCTTTGTACCAAAAACAGAAACAAACTATTATCCCATATTTGTTATTTGTGGCCATAGAAGCAACTAATGCATTTTACAGATATTAATCCAGAATTATTTTTTTTAATGTCTATGCACTCCAGAAGAACAATTGTTTTGCCTCTTTACATTCAGATTGTAAACTGTCTTCTGGACATTGTAAGCCATATGCATTGATTAGTATTACTCTTGTCAGTAAATAATGGATTAATGCAAACTAAGGGCTAAACTACAAGCATAAAGTATTATAAAATGTTATCAAACCAAAGGGCTTATGCTCTGGTATGTCTCATCACATGCCAGAAAGTTACCACAGTTTCCAGGCTTACAGTGTAATGGGTTTTGTTTTGTCCCAGCAACCTTATCAAAAAACAATCTTGCACATGAATTACTGATGTGCAAAACAAATATAGTAACTATTTTCTCCCACAACAAGCTTTCCCATACTCAGGCATAACCTGGCCCGTTGGTGTCCTCTGCATCTTCGGTTTAGTGAGGCCTGCATTCTTTTTCATTCTTCCCCAACTTTTCACATGGACATGCCTTTAATTTCTACCATGGTGTGAAGAACTTGACTCAAAAGCTCCAATGTCTGCTGACTCAGAGCTATTTTAAAAAAAAAATGATGTGCTCATTTTGCCACTGACTAACTTACTTACTCACCTGAGAATTGTGTGACAGTTATTTCATCAATAACCACCCAGGCACGCACATGAAGACACCCTTACCTCTCCCACTGCTTTCTCGTGCTGTACCACATTTTAACACTTATACTCAATGCACATATTTTAGTGCCAATAAATCACAACCACAGAATGACGAGGGGCATGCAGGGTGAGGCCCCGTCAGCCGGCCCAAACAGTCTCAGTATTGAGAAGTTCAATAAACATGGATTAAGAGTGATTCGTTTTCACTGGAGCAGCACAGATGGAAATCCAGAGAAAATATAACCTGGAAAAAGGTCCAAACAGATCACAATTGTTTCTAGCTTTGTTTGTGCCTCTTTAAAAAGTAATCGGTCATTGCTGTTTTTATAAATTAGAACTCAAGCCTGGTCAAGTCTGAACAACCTAAAACAACTCAACTTGAAATACCTCCATCGCCAAGTTAAAAGATTATGTTGCCAGATAACAGTGTACATGTTTAAACAGAGGTTTATTTATCTTTGGTAGAAAAGGAAGGGCCGGCTGAGAGCAAGTTGAAGCAGTCTGTAACAATGCTGCGTCCATCTGTTAATGTGTTTGCATTATTTCTTATGGGAATGTGAATTGTCTTAAAGCATTTGTCTAGCATGTACAAATACTCCAAGAAAATAACTAATTTGCCACGTCAAGATTGTGTGCATTGTAATTTGTAACAGACGTATGCACAATACAAAAAGGCATATAAATATTCTGAAGTGTGTACAGATTTAAAAACAGACTCTCACACACACACACACACACACACACACACACACACACACACACACACACACACACACACACACACACACACACACACACACACACACACACACACACACACACACACACACACACACACACACACACACACACACACACACACACACACACACACACACACATAAATGCTAGTATTCAAGCCTTTGATTTCTCTGTGTAGTAAAAAAAAATAACAGTAGTTTCAGTAATTATTGTACTTAGAATAAAGTTGAGACGCCATTGCAGCTGGAAACCTAATATTACAGTTCAATGAATAAAGTCTGTGCCAAATGTGGCAAAAATAAAACATGAATATTTAATTTGAATTATTTTCCAACTCCAATAAACAAACAAACCTAAGTTGCTTGGTGAAACCTACCTAGACTTTACTTGTACCTATGTGGAATATTTAAACTGGGTGTTGGCTCTAGGTTGTCCGAGGTGTAGTTTGGCTGGCCATGCTTTCTGTTCTTTCTAATTAACATGTGAATGAGTAGCCATGCAGAAAACTGGATTTGATGATTCAGGGATGCAGCAAGGCATAGCATGCACTGTAAATGAAAGACATGTTTCACCTCTGAATGGATCAGGAATGTGTGTTGCAACACACAAGTAGTATGTGTTTTACAACAAGGGTGTAGTCTGTCATTTAAGGCAACACCTGACATCCTGTTCCTCTTATTGTTACAGCGCAGTAACACAAGTATGATTACCTTTAGGCTTTAAGAGTTAATAGACAAAGTCAACTCAGTTCAAACGTCAAATAGGTGGCATTTCAACGTAATTTGATGGGACATAATACAAATATACATTTGTGTTACATGAGGCTATAACTGCTACTGTTTGCAACTAAATGCCTTTTTAACACACACACACACACACACACACACACACACACACACACACACACACATACCATGTATACATCACTTCAGGGGACATTACATTGACTTACATGCATTTCCTGGAGACTTATCCTAACCTTAACCATAACCAACACATGCCTAACCCTAACCATGAACCTTACCCTAACCAAGTCTTCACCCTAAAATGAATGATTCCCCTCATAAGGGAGGCGAGTCCCCACACGTGACTGTGTAAACAGATTTAGGTCCCCACAAGTATAGTAATGCTAGGCCACACATCACACACATACACACATATATATTTCACCATCTAGTTCTGGCATCCTTCCACACCTGCTCATAGTACAGATGGTTGCCATCCACCTTTTTTGGCAGTACATATTGCACTATTGCTAAGAATACAGTAAATTACAGGATGTCAGAATGGGCTCTCCAGTCAACGTCAAGAAGTCTGTTTTCAGTGAATGCAGTTCACTTGGTGAAGAACCTTAATTAATATAAACACAAACAGTTGGATATAGCTGTTGCCCAGCCCTCATATCCAGTCTGTTTATAATTCTATGCTTTTTTTTTTTGCTACGCTTGAAACTTGTATCGCAGGCTCCTTTCTAGTTTTCCAAAGAATGTGTTGTTGGAAAAGTGGACAATACCACAGATTGGTTTTAAGGTCGCTAATTTCTGCACACACAAAGGGGTGAAGGTGTTTACTGACTGAAAGTGAACTCCACATCCGACTAATGTACTTCTGTCTCTGACTTTAGTCACTGTGATGATAACTTTCTCTTGCTGTTTTAACAGCTCTGGATGCTAAAACCTGTTGAACAGCTTTGGGGTCCTATGTCTCCTGGGTTTAATTGACTTTTCACTTTTGTTTGTTTAAATGCAGTTGTTTGGATACCATACTTAACTAAACATGTTAAGAGCCTCCTCTGTCCTCCACTTGGTAACTGTATTAATGGCACTTGTTTGAACTCGTTATCAGTATAAAAGACACCTGTCCACAACCTCAAACAGTCACACTCCAAACTCCACTATGGCCAAGACCAAAGAGCTGTCAAAGGACACCAGAAACAAAATTGTAGACCTGCACCAGGCTGGGAAGACTGAATCTGCAATAGGTAAGCAGCTTGGTGTGAAGAAATCAACTGTGGGAGCAATTATTAGAAAATGGAAGACATACAAGACCACTGATAATCTCCCTCGATCTGGGGCTCCACGCAAGATCTCACCCCGTGGGGTCATAATGATCATGTAACCCACATTAAAACATAGTAAGCATAAAGTCATTCAAAAGTGATTTCATTAAAGGATACACGTTTAAAATTGGTCAATGATAACATTGACCTATCCCTTTAAAAATATAATAAATAAAAGTAGTATGACAAATTACAAGGTATTGTTCTTTTAAGGGATCTCTGCTCACCACCAGGCACGCGCAGCGTAGCAGGAGAAAAGAGAAAACGGAGCAAGACGCAGATGAGACGAGCAGAGT